GCACTTTTCGTGCAAGTAGTACCTAGATACATACCCCTAAATATCCTTATCTAGCAGAATGAAACAGTAGAAAAAGAGTAAAATCAGGCTGACTAGTATTTGTTTGAAATACCCCTACATAAAACGTTCATCATGTTGTAAGATAATCAAATAATAGTCAAGTGAAGAAAAGATCAGTTGTTTAGAAGAAATATAACAATGGATGGTTAATTAATATTAGAAATAAGTAGCTGATACACATTATCAGTTAAAATACATATAATAAAATATAATATACAAAGTAGGTAGTATGTCAATCATGAAAACATAAGTCTTAAGAGAAATAATTTTTGAAATGGTTTTTAAATGACCAAATAAGAACACATAACTGGTGTAAAAATGGTTGAAATAAACTCAACAACATGAACCAAACCTATAAAATACAATTGAAGAAAAATCACATACATTTGGGAAACAGTTTCTGAATCAAAGTCATGCTGGGAACAATTTGATGGTATATTATGCATTTCTTATACCTTTTTCAGTATTTGAAAAACTGGTATAAGAATATAGAATACAGATTAGTCAATGAATGTATGGGCAAGTGAAAAAAAATCTACTTTTATTAACAATGATCTTGACTATGACCAAAAAAAACACCTTAACTCCACACAAAGTTAAGACGATAACCCAAGGTGTGTATGTTACAAATATAAGACAGCCATCAATGAATGAGAAAAATGGCAAAAAATATATTTTAGCACTGGTGACCATGACCCCGAAAAAGAACACTTCCATCATTTAGAGTTTGTTTGTCTGCTTTATAAGCCAATTACAACAGATTTGTTGTCATATCTCCAACTATCTAGTAATACTAATTTCTCTTTAAGTGGCCAAAAACCAAATGATTTCTAAATCAGTGGTGAGAGACAAATGACCATTAGACTAAGATAAATTGTCATGGACCAGCTATGGTATACAGCTGGTATCAGTCAAAAGGATAAACTACAGGAAAGAACTACAAAATTTCTATACTACTGAGGACTATGTCACATGCTTAACATATATTTTACCGGAGCGTATAAAATGTTTAGATAAACACAAGGAAAAAATACAGAGGAAAACTCTCATCATTTCAATCCATAATGTTATACAAATTTACTCCTGTCAATTGTCAATGGATACAAAGTAAACAATGAAGAACTGTAAATTTCAGTAAGATATGAGAAAGTTTTCTACAAATGTAAGAAGGCCTAGCAACTTACTACATGTAAATTAGTTAGCTAAAAAAAGTGTAGTTTTTCCACCAATGCATAAGATATACTTGCTAAGCTAGCTGCATCTTTGGAGTTTTTCAAATCTAATCATTTCATTTAGCACTTAATTATATACCTTTCTGATAAAAAAAATCAGTGAACTAAATAAATCTAAACATTCTGGTAATTCTGTGAATCGAGGTGTTTTTCACACAAAGGTTTGTTTGTTCAGATTTTGTATTTCTGCATGCATTCTATTAAAGAAAATAAAATGAGTATGGTAATCTGGCAGATTTTATCATCCATGTTGATTGTATACAGTTGTGCTCCCACTCACTAGTTATTGAATTGTGAGAATACAAACTTGCCTGACACAATGACCTATCAGAAAAGCACACTCGCTGCCTTATTCCCAATATTCCTTTGGTTATTTACAAAAAAAGTTTCTCGGACCTAATTTCATGAACCTACAGAAACTTAAGGAACTTTTTTTACCAATATACAACAATTTGATACTTCATTAAACAAAAAGAACCTTTTTAAAATCTAAAAACATGTACACTGAAACAATGACACCGTGAAAGCATTACCATTTTAACACATAAAATTGATCTTTAAATAAAGAGCAAAAATCACAAGTATCTACATAATATTTAAAAATCAACTCTTACTTTTCCCTTATCTTCAAAAATGCATACTATGGGTTATACATGTATGTATCATAAATGATGGAAGGATGTTTCCGGCTTCCTATTACAAATTCAGGACAACATATATTCAATTCACTATCTCTAGATCTCTCACATCCTCGGTAACCCTAGGTATTTTCTGTCCGTCAGTTTTAAATGTAGTGTATACAGAATGTGTACTGAAGGTTCCAACAATGCTCAAGACATTATATAGTATGTATCAAGCACATATTCTTTTTATATAATCTTTTAATCTAGCTATTCAATAAGCTCCTGCACCTTGCATTAATAAAGCATTATATAAACAACATATGTCCCCCCTATCTGTTCATATTATCATAACAAAACATGAAAATTCTTGACTTCTGGAAATAATGACTTCTTTGTGGGTTTTTTTTTCTCATCTACTGATCCTTACTTTGAACTTTTATTTGAATAACAGTAGATTTAACCAGAAATATGTTATGGTGAAATTCTTATTGTAATTTACCAATTTGATAATTTAATTTATAAAGATAGGGATCTTCTAGGAATCAATGCACACTGGTCAATTTCACCAATCATGACTTCATAGAAACATGCAATGTTAATTTGAAGAAATTTCTATTCTCTTTCCAGAATATAGATGAGGAAATAACAAGGAATTCAAATAACACTGCATGTTGTATTTACGCTCATCTGTAAGTTAAAAACGGCATAACTAAAACAATATTGCTTTCAGAATAATGCCCCTTGTCTAACAACTGCACATTTTCATGATAAACAAAATGTTGGTCATTTTTAATGCAATGCCATCTATAGCTTTTCCATTTATGTCAATTATTTATATTGTAAAATGTGTAAACACAACCAAATAGGTAAGGATATCAGAATACCATTATACAGAACAAAACAATATGATTTTACATCTTATCAAGCTACACCTATACTATTAAACATTAAAATAACATTATAGTATGATCTGGCTCAAAAAGAACAAAAACATTTTGTCACACCTTAAATTATAAGTATCAAATTACTACAAACTAGAAATGTGTCCATAGGACATGGGTGCCCCCACCGCGCCACTGTTCTGTCAATCTTTTTACTAAGTCAAGGGAAATAACTCTACAAATACTGGATAAATCCACAAGCCAAACCCCAGGTGCAAATCTAAATATGCTGAGCAACCTGCCCATAAGGTTTAATGACTATGTCAAATCCTTTTTGAGTAACATGCGACACAAGTTGAAAATTGCAAAAATTTTCTAAGTGAAGGGCAATAACTCTAAAAATACTAAATAAATCCAGACCAAAATACCTGGTGCACAACTGCACATGCTGATCAATATTCCTGTAAAGTTACATGACTCTAGGTCAAATACTTTTTGAGTTACATGCGACACAAGTTGAAAATTGCAAAATTTTACTAAGTCAAGGGCAATAATTCTGAAAATACTAAAAATATCCAGACGAAAATACCCAGGTGCACAACAACACATGCTGATCAACAATCCTGTAAAGTTTCATGACACTAGGTCAAATACTTTTTAAGTTACATGCGACACAAGTTGAAAATTGCAAAATTTTACTAAGTCAAGGGCAATAACTCTGAAAATACTAAAAATATGCAGACCAAAATGCCCAGGTGCACAACTACACATGCTGATCAACATTCCTGTAAAGTTTCATGACTCTAGGTCAAATACTTTTTGAGTTACGTGCGACACAAAAGTGAACGGACGGACGGACAAGGGTAAATCTAAATGCCCGCCACTAACGTGGGGGCACAAAAAGTATTTCATAGGTTTTAAGAAATCTGAATAAAGAAGCAATATTTAGTTCTAGCATCTAATATGCTGACTAATGTAGATGTATTGTCTGAAAGCACAAAACTAGGCATGTCCCAACAAATCTCTACTATAGGGGGATTGAATAAAGAAGTTTAAACCACAAAAGTTGCAAAATCTTTCAAGAACAACAACAATATAAAGCGAAATTTAAGATGTCTTCAAAAATCCAGCAAACAATTTTTGATGAATTCCGTTAACTGCAGACCTTTCAAATTTCCATGTCCTATTCTTTCATTAGCGAATGATAATGATGTGCAGTTTATATGTTGATAGTGTAGAAACTTTTGTTTACAGAAGCAAGACAACAGTAACCTTACATTCTGTGTTACAACAGGTTAAATGTGCTATATCATGTTTATATCATATCTGGTAAGTGACTGGTAATAGAGATAAGAAAACAACACCATGTGACAGGTCTTTTTAGATTGCTCAAAGGGGAAGATTTTCTGTATATTCTAAAACTTAACTTCTTTATAAAAACATCAGACAACTTACATTTACTTGTATGATAAAATCTCAACTTTCTATAACAAATTTATTTCACCCTGTTGTAACTCATTTTGTAAGTTTGAGTTATGTCCAACTTTCACTAAAACCCTTAATAAGATATGTAATAAAGTATGTAATCACTTAACATTTTAAATCACAACAATATTAAAAGTAACTTTTATCAACATTAACTTAAGACGTATATTTTTCAAAATAGTTCCTGGGAAAACACATGCAAAATACACATGTATATAATACCAAAAATTGTCATTGTACTTTCTTCAAAGTTGTCTGCCTATTCATAGCAAGATAAGAAAGATTCAAACGTAAACGCAGCTTTTTTTTTTTGTTGGCCAAGTCATAATTTAAATAAAATTGTTCATGCAGAAATAAAACCTCTTTGAACATAACTTTGGAACATAACATCGCCCAATAAAAATTAGTCTTGAAAAACATGAAGAAAAAAAACACACACACTAAAAAGTAGTAACAAGAGAATGTTAGAAAGTCTGACACATTTAGCAATAAAACAATTAAAGATGTTAATTATTGGACTTCACTTCACCAAAATACTGTTACTTCATAATGATAAAAAAATGAGCCCCATAGACTTGCTTATTATGATGTAGCCAAAACATACAGTATGCGTGAAAAAAGACTGCATTTATAACTGGTGAATTGTCTTACCATATATCATAAACAAACACACGCACACACACTCGGACAAGACACAGATACAGTGAACATGTGCTCACCTTTTAGTTGTTGTTGTTGTATTACTTTGGTTTTTTCGTAAAGTTATAGTGCCATGATCATTTCCATTGGTAATTGGGTGGTCTGGAAATTTTATCAATAATCTCTGACCACCACATTCTACACCCTGTAATATAAAAATATCAGAATATCCTGGGATACAATAACAAACACATGTTTTAATTTTAAAACATATTTAAACATAACTCAATTTTGACATTAATTACATATGTTTATCATCAGGTGTCCCACAATGCATTGTTTCATGTAAAATCAAGCACCATAGACCTGTATAATGTTAACTTGAAATTATTGACTCATATTCATCATAGAGCAAGATGTTTCTGGAACAGTAGACTTTTTTTCCAACCGACTGGAACAGCCTGGAACGTTTCTATTGGAAACTCTGAAGCGAAAACAAATTTAACCACCAAACACAGTCAAGTTATATTTGTTCTTCTTGGTGTCTTAGAAAGGTAATAAATATTTATTCTGAGTGCATTGTTGTACAATAATGCAAGGTTTTCATTCAAATGCTTAGCAATTAATCACTCAGGTCTATCGACCGTGATTATATTCTTAGGCATTTGAACTTAAACGGTTCATTATTTTACAACAATGCATTAAAAATTGGATTTAGCTCAATACAGGATTGGAGCAGTACCTCTAGACGCTTGCAGAAATCATGATCACAAAATAGACAAATATCGTTTTTTTCGCCGATTTTTACATTTTTCATTCATTATCATACATAAATCGGTGAGTAAAGATGAATTAGACCTATTTTAGTTCATTCCGTTGGGTAAAAAGGCAAGATTTTAGCATTTTATGATTCAAGCGCCTTGCCCGGTATATACCGGAATACAGTATTTAGTGTGGTGCTCCAATCCTTTTTTTAGTCTCACTCTTAAAAATTGATATCTATTTCCTAAATAGACAATCTGTAACGAGTAAAAATTTTTTATTCAAGTTGTCATATCAAACCTGTAATCCAACCATAGCTTTCCCTGCAGCCTCTTTTGTTGAAAAATTAACAAATGCACAATATTTTTCTGGTAAACATCGTACACTTTTTACTTGACCAAATCTAAAAGAAGAAATTTTGTAGCATATAGACATTAAGATTCATAAAAGCATAGCTTTTAAACTGCTTTTATCTTATGGGTTCAAGAAACTGGAAATTTTAACTGGCTATGCAGTCACAAAAATCAAATATATTTAAGATTATGTTTTGAAATTAGCAGCAATGGGGAGCATATGCCTGGAGCAGGGTACCAGGGCAGCAATAGCCCTACATGTTTATCATGTTGTCAAGATGTTTGAACCAGACCAGGATTAACTTAAAATGATATATTCACTGTGACTGACAACTCCTCCAGGTTTGTGTTTTACAGTTTACTTTGATGAATACGTTTGCAAGTACATACACTGTGTCAAGAAGAACAAACCAGTTGTTATTTCCAAGCCATCTACTGTCAAAACAATGTACAAATGCCATCCAAAAGAGAGACAGAACATCTTAGACAAGTGGTCTTTATAAAGAGGTAACTTTGATATAATCAATCAAATTTGTCAAAGTGTGATCTTTATTAACACAAGTTTGAATGTACAACAAAAAGCATAGTAAATACTAAATTCAGAGGCTGAGCTTTGGAAAATACAACTCAGCAATGTATGCATAAAGACTCACCTTGCAAACATTTGATGAAGCTTTTTATCAGTTACTTCAGGTAAAACATTTCCCACCCATAAAGCAGTAAGACCTTCTGGGTTTTTAGGACTGCAATGTTAAGAACAGTACATGTCAAATTATCATGGTGAAAAAAGTTATTGAATTAAATCTCAACATAAGTCAAATAATATTATATCACATTAAACCGCCTTATTTGTATTTCATTACAAATGAAACTGAGCAACAAAGAATAAGCTAACTTACAAATTTTAACAAATATTGTTGTCTATTATTTCAAGTCCATGTGTTTTCTCAGAAACTTATCAGACATTATTTCAACTTCAGTTGATGCAAGATAGAGACATAAACTCTATAATTATAAATGTTTTACAAAATATCAGTATCATTTTCATTTATTTCATAAAATGTTAAAAACATAACATAAGAGTGGTCTTACTCCATTTTTGTATCACTTCCCGATGTCCGAGAATTTTGCGAGGCAGCAGTAAATTCTTCATCATCGGAAACATAAACTTCTTGACTACTTGTTAATGAGTTTTCAGCTGAAATAAATACATATATTTATCAAACTGATATATATCATAATAATACAATGTCATTTCAAAGATACAATTCTCATGATATATGATATTTTTCTTTTCTATTTCAGGCAATATGAAACATGAAAAATTGTTTCCTTTAGTTACTCAATCACTTGAATTTTATCTAAAGAATTAAAGATATTTGGGGGTTTTTTGTGATGTTTTATGTTGCACCCACACATTACAGGTTATATGGCAACTTTCCAGCTTTAATAGTGCGGCTCTAGGCATGATTTCAGGCACAAACAGGCACCTAAGTAGAACCATCTATGTTCCATAAGCTAGCTGGATAGCTTTATCACATGTAAGATTTCGAAGGCACGGGCGCAGCTCAAACTTAAGCAAGGAGAGGCAAAGGGTTTTAAGCCAAAACAACCACTCAGCCAAGGGCACCTCTAAGTTGAAAAACATGCACAAACAGACCAAGCTGTTGTAATGTAGATTTCATTCAACACTTTTGACAGACACTTACCCACACCCGCTAATAATGAATCTAAGGCCGCTTGAACAGTTCCGTATTTTTTTATAGCTGCTTCGGCTTGATGCCGTGTAAAACCCATTTCCTGGAAAACATAAATATCTTAAAAATATATTGTCTTAAAAGATCAAATAACCACTAGTTTTATATACTATTGTCTTTTTAACACAGAATAATTATATAGTTATAGTTTATTTTTAGCTTAATTGTTTTCAGAATAAAACTATTAAGCTAAAGTCATTTAACATCAGACTAATATTTCCCTGATGATATTATCATATACAGATGAATTTATACCATGGCTTAAACCTATCAATGTCCTAGTTTTCCTAGAATTCTCACCTAATCACACAATACATACAAGACTTTCAATGTATGTTTCACATTAAATTAAGAATTTGGCAGTGAGTGATAAGTTCCTGTATATCATTGCAAATTCAAATCATTTGCTTGATCTATTACAAGAAATATTTCAACATTATTGAATAAAAATCTATAATATCTCATATTTCACAGTGAAAAGTTAAGAATCATAGTCACAATTTAAACAATCTTTTTATAACTTACCATTATTTGATGAGTTCGCACTCGTAAAAGTTCTTGAACAGCATCTTCACAATTTTTATCTAATTTAAGCACTTGGGTAAAAGCTTGCTCTGCTTCTGGAAACATCTGAAAAAAATAAACAACCACCAGCTAGCAATTTCAAACTATAATTTTTTTATTTAAAAGGTGAATGAGGAATGATTGTAAGCTGAACATTCTTACATATTGTCTGTGTTATATGAAAATGTTACAGGAGAGATAATAATGACTGAAATAGAAAAAATAGTCCATTAGTTCATATAAATATTCCTTCTCTTTTGATTATTTGTTTAGTATTGTACTATTAAAGGAAAGCCAGAAAAAAATATGTTTTTGTTTGCAACAAACATAATGAATGACTTTGCATTATCACATGTACAGAGCTTTTTCATTAGTAATAAAATTTGTTGGTTTCAAACTTTAAAACATTAAGAACTCACTTTTAATCCAGCCAGAGCTCGGCCTTGTCTAAAATAGCCTTTCGGCCAATCTTTTGCTAATGATATTGCTTTTTCTGCATCTTTTAATGCCCTGAAAAAGAGTTAACATTTTAAAACCTAACTTCTTTCATCTAAATTTAAGTTCTATAAACATACATGCAATTGGCATTTAGTCTATACTGACGATTGGGAAATTTCTTATTTTTATATTGAAATCTCTTAAAACTCACAAAAAAAAGTTTTAAATTTAAAGCTGCAAAACAAGCACATTGTAAAACTTTATCTTAGCATTTTCAATCTAACATGTTTAAATTAAAAATACATCCATAAAACAAAGTTTCCAGTTGATTCCAGTGTTTTTGTCAGTCTACAGACTAACTGCATTAAAGGACAGACAGGTAAGAGTAAAGCTATATCACCCATTGTAAGTTATATCCATTATTATATAGTTTAAATGGTATATCATATTTTTTATATAAGATCCTTTATCAAATAACAGTACTTAATACATTTATATCATTTTTAATCAATATGGCATTGTAATTATATTCAAGTACATAGAGGTTATTCGTTTAGTTCAGTGTAAGATTGGGATATATTTACCAAGTGAGCACCAAAAGGTATATTTCACGATGGGCGCATCCGCGAGTGAAACATGAACTTGTGGTGTTCACAAGGTGAAATATATTTAGATCTTACAATACAAATTTTCTTTTTATTACATGCAAAGAAACTTTTTACAAGACATTTTAACCTAGTATTTAATGAAAGCTCGCCAAATAATAATACAATGTGACGTCATGTCATTAAGTTGGTTTCCAGTACTTTGCACGCTGGTATTTCACTGAAACAACGTAACAGGTTTAAATTCAAAACAGTGAAAAATATCAAACTGTTTCAAACAGTGAAATTATCAGTTTATATATCACTGATATATTTCTATAAACCTCCGAAAAGCATGAAATAAAATGTTTTACTTACTTTTCATATTGTTGTATTCTATCATAGCAGTAAGATCTATTACCAAAAAATCTGAAATTCAAACATTAAAATGTCATTAAAATTATAGTGATAAAAAAGATATTTTAAATCAGTCACAAGCTAACTGTAAACTAAACATATAACCCAAACTTTTAATTGATTTTCGCCAAGTGAAGGATATCATTACATAAATTATCTTATTAACATACTCATACTGATTTTTACCAATCAGTAAAAATATTTGTGTTATACAGAGTGTAAAAACATGCCAACTGTTACAGTGACACTTTAAGCATGTCAATGAAAAAGCTTTTTTTTCTGTGGACAGTTGTTATTTTGGATATGTGATAAATAGAATATTATATTCGTGTAGCTTCATTACTAAATAAATCATGTTTGCCAATTTTTTTAATTCCATTCTTTTATTCACTCAGATCATACAAACATGAGGCAATAATACAATTACATGTACATAATAAATGCCATGATAATGTCAGAGGCTTGCATAGTATAATTTTATTCACACATTCAATACATTCAGTATTTAACTTACACTTACTCAATATACCAAGTCACATATCCTACATATCTAACCACCATGGGTACAATGCCTGTAACTGTCTTATGCTCTAATTACAGAGTTGCTTATTAACTTCAGGATACTGTTTTCAAGATTGGAGCTTTTGGCCATATTTGATTGGATACATTATGATTTTTCAAAACTACTGTCTTGATTTATTGTATCATAGTTTAAGAAATTCTTTAGACATAGAAGCAGTAGAACCGAGAAGAAAATACACAACTATCAGGAAGTTTTTCAATTGTTCTGAATTACTCTCAGCTCAATAAATAAATTCTTCTTACCTTCTAAATAATGACTTTAAATGTATATTTTTAGACAGTCTTTATTTTAAAGCAATAATTGGGGTTATCAATTACAAGGTTTATAAATCTGAATAACCTACCTAAAATCCTTAGGATCTAATTTTATAGCTTCGCTAAACAATTCTATTGCAGCATTATAGTGACCTAAATGAGCCATCTCGTTGCCTTTTACTGAAAAAGTAAAAATGAACATATTTGAAGCAATAAATTTAAAATATCTCTGATTTTAATTATTTTTACTTGTGAACATATATATGATAATTTGAATTTTTAATTACATTCAACTGTAACAGATTAATTAAGGCCCATTTACCCTAAAATAATGTACTCACTGTCAATATAGCTGTACCTGCTTTTGCTTATTTTGCTTTTAGGCAATTAGTGCAGTAAATCGGAAATTTGTATAGAAGGTAAAATACTGATTTGTTCACATTTTGCAACCTTTTTTGACAGATTATTTCTCATTACTTCTAGTAATAAGCATCTAATATACTTTAATTATTAAAATATAACTAAAGACATGTCTGCCCCTTTTAAAAAAGTAAAATATTATTCATTGCCGAGGAATAATGTGCCTTTCAAATTCTTACAATCTGATTACAATTGGAATACACCTTTCTATGGGGTATACTCCCATATGTGCAAAATTCCAATATTTTTTTTCCACAAATACACATTACCTCTGCACAGAACATTTACAAAATGGAATATATATCATTGTATACTGAAGAAACTTACTTGCAAGTTGTCTACTACGTAGAGTTTTTGGATCTAATTCTTCGGATTCTTCATCGCTTTTATCTCCCTTTTCTTTCCTCTGCCTTGAAGGCGGAGTTTCCACTGATAATGGAGATTTCTTCTTTTTGTTCACGACTTTGGTGAAAAATGCTGAATTTGGATCGAAGCCCTGAAATAATCACAAGTATGGTAATAACAAAGTAACAGTACAACAGTCCTTGAGTCATTACAGCATGATCAAGCTCATACAACAACATTTCAACTTCAAGGTTTTCATTTTTATCTGAGGAAAAATATGTGCCAACAAAAACAATCAATTTGGGCAAGGGTCAAGGGGGATATTTTAATATACAGGCTGAAAATACAACTCAATGTGCTAAAATGTACTTACTGCTTCGTCCGAGGATGTTGATGCATCACCCCTGGAAAATAGATAATAATGATGTTGACATGCAAGACAATTTACATAACCAGAATATCAAATAACAAATAAACAAGAGGAAACAATTAAATTAGACTGATGCCTTATTGGTAACTATATCAAGGAACCTAAACTTTATTTCTAAAATAACCCCTTGAAATGCAAAAAGCAATGCACTAATAATGTTATTTTTGGTGTATTTTATATGTGAAAAGAAAACATAGTAATATTGAAATGCAAGTCATATTTATCAAACTTGACACAAGGATCTGCCTTGTTATATGTTGTTTTAAGTTAATAGTTTAACTGTTTTCAGAGATATGAAATGTAAATTTTAAGACACCAAACAGATGGGGACATGATCAAATGATTTTTTTAGTTACTCAACTATTTAAGGTTTGAACAAGTATAGTTTTTTCAATATTTAATATAAACACTTACATCATATCTGTTTTTTTATTTTTCTCTGGAATATTTTCAGAAATTTCTTTTACTTTTTGTTTTGATGATTTCTTTTCCTCCTACAATAACATTCAATAATTGATTAGTTTCTCTTGCACTCATCCACAATTGAAACAATAATTAAAGGTAACACTCAATTCTTAAAATCATAAACTCTACAAGAGTAAGAAAAAATGTATATAATTTTATAAAATATTGAATATTCAATATAAGAAGTATTCACTTTAGACATATTTTAGAAAACAGTTCTGATTTGTTCATAAAAAAAACAACAAAGTCATTCAGGATAAAAGAATACATGTGTCCATGCTGCCCCCACATTTCACTGTTTTGTCACACTATGAACAGCATGACAGTAAGATGAAAAGTATGGACAAGGGAGATATAATACTGCCATGAGAGGAAATGTAAATACAGATATATACTTTAGACAATAACCACTAAGTGATACTTCAACTTATATTATAATGGTTAATAACAACTAGGACCAACACTTTAGAGAATGTCATTTTTTCTACTTTTACTATGATAAAACTGTGGTGTTAATACCTGAGGTTCAAAACTATCAGTGTCTGTTTTTTCTTGTTTCTTCTTTTCTCTTCTTCTCTGAAAAATATATATAAACATTACTAGAAATTCTTCTACAAAGGAGGCAAAGTTTAAATGTCTATTTTTTTTCTCTTACGTTCTGAAGTGAGTATAAACTTGTGCATTCTTACAAAAAACAACCCAACTGTTACTGCCTATGCTGGAATTCACCGCACACTACATATTGACTGTCACTAAATATATTTAAGTATAGTAACAAATGATATGATTTAATTCATTTAAATGTTAAGGAATAATACAACATATCCAAATCTAGCATATATCATATACTCGAGTATATATACAGAAAGAAATCAATTAAATTGTCAACTTCAACACATAATAATATACATTTTTCTGGAATTCTATGAACAGGAAGGACATAACAGGTACAGACAGGATTATTGTTTTTATGTAGGTCATAGAATGTCATTTAGTTGTTCATTTTTTGTAATTAAGCAACAGCAAGACAACATTGTAATAATTATATAATAAACCTTTTTCTTTGCTCTTCTTTTTTCTGCTCTTCTCTTTTCTTTTTCTTCCTCAGTTATCAATTCTTCAGCATTACGACTGATTTCCTAAACATGATACAAAAATTTTTGTTAAGCTTAAGATTAAGCTGTAAAATACAATTCAACAAATTACAACCAATGTCTTCAAGTTATATAAGATGTGAAGAAGATAAGCTAAGGTATGGATGTACATAACCATAAAATCTTAAATAAATGCACTTTTTAAAAGCAATATCATTTTTTCTTTATAACAAATGAAAACAAACTTGTTTTGTTTTAATTCTAACATCAAAACTTAAACCAAATTATTAACTTGTCTAGCATACCACAAGAAAAATGTTAATTAATTTAGGAGTGAGTATGGTATATAATAGGCATATAAATCATATGATTGAGTACCAGGTTGATAGTTATAAAATTTATAAAAAAAGTTTCTGCTGCTCTTCCAGTTTTTACAAATCAGTTATGAGAAAAAAAAACAGTAACTTGTACAAACAAGTACAAAATCCAGAACCACTAGACAGGTCAGAACTGAAATGTCTTTATCTTGGTAAACCTAACAAAACTTATAAATCATCTCTACATAATTTATGATCAAGGTTATAGTACCTCAGCTGATAATTTTTTGCCCATGATATCTCCCTCTTCCCGAGCTTTCTTCCAATCTTGTTTAAGTTTTATTTTGTCAGGAAATAGGTTAGAGTACTTCACTTCTTCTTCAATATCCTCATCATCGTCATCATCATCCGAGGAGTCATACCCCGAACCATTGTAGGAATCTGTCAAACATATACATCATATCTTATAAAACATATCTTTTCAAATCATATAAAGTAGTACTGGGGAAAAAAACAAAAGTGTTTAAATAGCCCTTCAAATACTTACCAGCCTGTTTTATTAGTATAAAGGCTTACTGTTTACTTTTGCAGTGTAATTCTATACACATATTTGACAGTCTTCATACATTTTAGTGCACAATATTATGAAATACTTGGAAATAATTTCTAAGGAAATATTACAAGCTTTAGAGACAAAATTGTAAGACACTTCTCTTTGTCTTTGTAATTATGAAATATACTTAATTTGAATTTTCTTTTTATTATATACTTTTTCTCACTCTTGTGCTAACAATTCAAAAGACTTTCCCTTTGTGTGTATTGGCTGAATTTAGAAGAAAGTGGTTCAGCAAGGCACCAGTGAAAATATAGAAAATATGCATGTTATTTCATTTAAATATTTCTCAATATTCCATAAATGCTACTATCCTACACATTGTAATTAAATTTGGGCGTTTTTGAAAAACAAGAGGGCCATGATGGCCCTGAGGTCGCTCACCTGTATATAGGCCCCCCCACCCCCGGGCCAATTTTTACCCAAGGGCTTTTATTTGTTTATTTGAACAGACTTGGTAGACACCCATAAGAAGATGTTTCATGCTAAAAATCTAAGTTCTAGCTCATTGGGTTTTTTAAAAGAAGATTTTTAAAGTTTTTACTATACACATATAGTTAAAATGGGGCAGGGCCAGTTTTGACCCCCGGGCTTTTATTTGAACAAACTTTGTAGATATTTACTTAAAGATGTTTCATGCTTAATATCTAAACTCTAGCTATTTGGGTTTTTTCAAAGAAGATTTTTAAGTTTTTGCTATACACATATAAGGAAAATCAATGACCCCCCTCCCCCCGGGCGGGGCCAGTTTTGACCCCCAGGGCTTTTATTTGAACATACTTGGTAGACACCCATTAGAACATGTTTCATGCTAAATATCTTAGCTCTAGCTCTTTGAGTTCTTTAAAAGAAGATTTTTTAAGTTTTTACTATATGCATTTAGGGAAAATCAATGACCCCCTGGGGCGGGGCCAATTTTGACCCCAGGGCTTTTATTTGAACAAACTTGGTAGACACTCATTAGAAGATGTTTCATGCTAAATATCTTAGCTCTAGCTCTTTAGGTTCTTTAAAAGAAGATTTTTTAAGTTTTTACTATATGCATATAGGGAAAATCAATGATCCCCCGGGGTGGGGCCAATTTTGACCCCAGGGCTTTAATTTGAACAAACTTGGTAGACACTCACTAGAAGATGTTTCATGCCAAATATCTAAGCTCTAGCTCTTATGGTTCTTTAAAAGAAGATTTTTTAAGTTTTTACTATATGCATATAGGGAAAATCAATGATCCCCCGGGGTGGGGCCAATTTTGACCACAGGGCTTTAATTTGAACAAACTTGGTAGACACTCACTAGAAGATGTTTCATGCTTAATATCTTAGCTCTAGCTCTTTGGGTTCTTTAAAAGAAGATTTTTTAAGTTTTTACTATATGCATATAGGGAAAATCAATGACCCCCTGGGGCGGGGCCAATTTTGACCCCAGGGCTTTTATTTGAACAAACTTGGTAGACACTCACTAGAAGATGTTTCATGCCAAATATCTAAGCTCTAGCTCTTAGGGTTGTTTAAAAGAAGATATTTAAAGATTTTTCTTTCGGTTGCCATGGCAACCAGAGTTCTGCATGGAATTAAATTCTTTGAACAATTTTTAAAGGTGACCACCAAAGGAACATTCCTGTGAAGTTTGGATGAAATTGGCTCAGTGGTTTATGAGGAGATGTCATTTAAAGCAAAAGTTTACGGACGGACGACGGACGGACGCCGGACGGACGGACGCCGGACGAAAAGCGATCACAAAAGCTGAGCTAAAAATGTCATTAAAAGAAATAAATTCACCACAGCCTCGTATATTTGTATGAAACTAGATGATTAATACATGTTTTGTCCAACGAAAAAACATGTAAGTACAGTTTTTGCAAGTTCCATGCATATTTAATAACTGTTAACAAATATGTCAATGTTTTTAGATCTGTTTTGTGTGGGAGAGTAGCTTTAATAAGTATATAATACAAGATTGCATTTGAGGAAAATGCTATGCCACCGCATTAATACAACAATAAATAGTAGTGTAGGAACATATTTTTTTGTTTCTATACAATTGAAGATTGTCATAATGCATAGATCCCTGACATATCTAATTCTTATTATCAGATTAGTGGTTAAATCTATTGTTAATCAAATAAAAGATCAGAGTAGGAATATATCAATGCACTTGAGTCTAGTGAATTTGGTGGTGAAGGTCATATTTCACACAGCCTAAATTTCATGACTACATCAAAGGACAACACAGTTAGACACTTTGTCAAAATCTAGGTCAGCTGATTCAAAGTTCACTTTACATTTTAATCGGTGCACATGGTTCAAATTTCATATCTGTAGATCAAAGCACAAGAAAGTAGGTCACATCATCAAAATCTAGGTCACCTGATATCAAAGTTCAATTTTACAACTAAAACTGTGCACATGGTCAAAATTTCATTGCTGTACATCAAAGGACAAGAAAGAAGGTCACTGTCCCCTTGGACAAGGCAAAATTTTGACCCAAGGGTTTAATTCAAAACAATCTTGATACAGGTCCACCAAACAACATATTAAGTCAAATATCTAAGCTGAAGCTTTCTCCCATTCAGAAAACAATTGTTTTATTTTCTGTTTTTACTATGTGTAAATAATGAGAATCATGCCCACGGGCAGGGCCAGTTTTGACACCAGGGGAAAAATTTGAATAACTTTGGTAGAGGACCTATAGATGATATTACATGTATATTGCAAACATCAAAGCTCTATGCCTTGTACCTTCAGACAAAAATATTTTTTATTTTTTTACTAGATAATGAAAATCAATGACCCCGGGGCGGAACCAATTTTGACCCCAGGGCTATAATTTGAACAATCTTGGTAGAGGTTCACTTTGCAAAGTCTCATGCCATATATTTAAACTCTAGCCTTTGTAAATTCAGAGAAGAAGATTTTTCAATTTTTTACTTTATACATATAAGGAAAACTAGCGCCTCTGGGGTAGGGCAAATTCAACACTAGGGGCATAATTAAAACAACTTTAGTACAGGACCCATAGATGATATTATATACCAAATATCAAAGCTCTAAGCCTTGTACCTTCAGACAAGAAGATTTTTAATTTATTACTATATGTTCATAGTGAAAATCAATGACCCCTAGGGGTGGGGCCAATTTTGACCCTAGGACTATAATTTGTACAATCTTGCTAGAGGTTCACTACACAATGTTTCATGCAAAATATCTTAACTCTAGCCTTTGTCAATTTAGAGAAGATGATTTTTTAAGTTTTTACTATATACATATAAGGAAAACCTATGGCCCCCGGTGTGGGGCTAATTTTGACACTAGAGGCAAAATTTGAACAACTTTGGTAGAGTACCTATAGATGATATCATTTAACAAATATTAAAGCTCTAAGCCTTGTACCTTCAGACAATAAGATTTTTTTTATATTTTACTATATGTAAATATTGAAAATCAATGACCAACGAAGCGGGGGCAATTTTGACCCCAGGGCTATAATCTGAACAATCTTGCTAGAGGTTCACTACACAATGTTTCATGCAAAATATCTTACCTCTAGCATTTGTCAATTACTAGAAGATTTTTTTTAAAGTTTTTACTGTAAGTTTTTACTATATACATATAAGGAAAACCAATGACCCCCGGGTTGGGTCGATTTTGACCCCAGGGCTATAATTTGAACAATCTTGGTAAAGGTCTACCAGACAATGCCTTATGCAAAATATCTAAGCTCTAGGCCTTTTGGGTCTTTTCAAGAAGATATTTTTAGTTTTTACTATATGTACATATTGCGAAAATCAATGCCCCCGGGCGGGGCCGATTTTGACCCCAGGGCTATAATTTGAACAATCTTGGTAAAGGTCTACCAGACAATGCCTTATGCAAAATATCTAAGCTCTAGGCCTTTTGGGTCTTTATAAGAAGATATTTTTAGTTTTTACTATATGAACATATAGTGAAAATCAATGACCCCCGGGCGGGGCCGATTTTGACCCCAGGGCTATAATTTGAACAATCTTGGTAGAGGTCTACCAGACAATGCCTTATGCAAAATATCTAAGCTCTAGGCCTTTTGGGTCTTTACAAGAAGATTTTTTAAATTTATTCTTATAATTCCTTTTGGTTGCCATGGCAACCAGATTTCTGCATGGAATGAAATTCTTTGAACAACTTTGGAAGCCCTTCACCCAAGGATCAATCCTGCCAAGTTTGGTTGAAATTGGACTAGTGGTTTTTCACAAGAAGATTTTTTAAGTTCACTATATAATCTATATAACACACACACACACAAACAAACAAACAAACGCACACACACACACACACACACAGGTGAATCGCTATATGCCACCGCATCGCAGATGCTGCGGTGGCATAAAAAGATTTGTTAACATAGAATATCACTTTTTTCTATTACTTACTGATTGGTCTGGTAAAGAAAACTTCTTTGAAAAGTGAAAGCATCTGGTCCTGAAACATATATTACATTTATTTTTATCAATAATTTTAGTTATTAATATGTCAGACAACATACCCTTTCTACACCCACATTAAGTACAATTATCAAATGCAAACATCAATTACTAGCTATAACCAGACACTAGCACAAAACTATCAATATCTTTAAAAGGAAAATATTTCATCTCAGAAATTGTAAACTTTATCACAAGCCTTCTTTATAAAAAAGATGGGTTTACTATATAAACATGTTCCAAAATGCTAAATATATCTATTTCTCAAAGTGTTTTGGCAACTCTTATTTTCCCACATTTACTTAATATATGACAATTCAAAAATGTACAAATTAGACAGACACAGATCAGTTCAGAAAAGGGACCAACGGAAAACCTCTCATGTAGGACAAGTTCATTGAAAAGCAGGGTTAAGTTCAACAAAGCCTCTGCCAATTGGGGTCATGCTCAAGTTTTTTCCCTTTTTCCATGGGATAAAGCATATTTCAGTGGGGGGAAAAATCATTTACTCAAAGAAATTTCAGACTGATCTTGACCATGGCTCAAGTATTACTCATACATATAAGTGGGTTTGTCTATCAAATAACATTTATTGAAAATTCAACAATATGACCTTGATAGTCGAGATCATTTAAAGGTCAAATTCAATAAATTACCCAGATTGTCAAGGTTACATCAAGTTCAAGGTCATACATCAGTTATCAAGGTATCAGTTCTGTTATAAGATTTGATTTGTCAACATATGAATCATCTTCATTGACAAATAAAACAACGTTAATAACTATAACTGAAACATTATATACTTTAGGATAATTGTAAAATGATAAAGTCTTACTAGTGTCATGTCATCTGTACTTTCTCCTGTAGTCAATCTTTTGTAACTCTTACTGACAAGCTTAAATTTCTGTAAAATATTCAAACATACATGTTTCATTAATAACTATGTATGGAACCACAATAACTTAACCTATTAAAACTTCTGCCTATATCTTACAAGGGCGTAGCGCCCATTACGCACAATACGCAATTGCGTATAAAAAAATTCGGAAGGTAAAAAAATAAAGTTGAGAAAATCTAAGTTTTAATGATTTTATCGCTATAAATCTAGATCTCAATTTCTGTTTACAAAATATTCCGTTGCGTCATATCGTTTACTAGTGTAAACTATGATTGCGTCACTCTATCGTATGACGTTTCAATATATATGCAATAGGAATTTAAGTTTCTCGTTAACTCGAAGCATTTACAAACTTACTGCACAGAGATAAATGAAAAGATCAGCATTAATTTATCATAACAACTTATCGTTGGTTAAATTCTAAGAAAATAAAGATTATTAAGACTTTTCTTAAAGATTAAGACAAATCCTTTCTAAATCGTTTCCTTTGGAATAGCTCTATTTTAAAACGACTTTAAATCTTTTAAGTTCTAGATCCATCAACTCGGGACAAAATTTAATTTTTGGTGTGTTGTTAGTTGTAAAAATGAAAAGAAACATCCGTCAAATTCCAGGACAAGCGACCCTGTTTATGGTCCTAAAACAGGACCATATTCAAGTCGATAATGAATCTGACCAGGCAGAAACAAAACAGAATTCACAAGACCTAGCATGTGAACCTCCTGTGATCAGCAAATCAGACGCCAATGTCGCGTCTCCTTCTCTCCTTTCTTCTTCTTCTCCGCCCACCTCCTCTTCTTCGTCATGCCCTGCTTCATCTCCCCTCGAGAACCGCTAGAAGCTCCCTGGGAGCACGATTCCTGGATATCGGAAGTGTTGATATCAGAAGCCGACTAAGAATGCTAGATTCTAATAAAATGTTGTCCTCACCGAACGGTTCGAGCCAAATACAGGTTGGGTTGCACCTCTCAGAGAACTCAAAAAAGGGCAACAAGAACTTCTGAAGGCGAGTGCCGGACTGTGTGTTTGAGCAAGAGAAGCACCCATCTACTTAAAGTACATCCCTTTATTTAATGGGGGTATTTTGTGCTCCATGTTCTGCCTTTAATGCGTCTGAAAATGTGCTTGTTGCTTGTCCGTTGATTGACTGTAGCAACGCTAGAAAAGTCGTAGATGGGGACACACACACTCAAAAGAACACATGAATTCTATCACAAAAGCCGACCACTATGTACGCATCTGCAGGAAGGAAGAGCAGAATGTGGTCGAGTTCGGATCAACGGCCTATCGGCAGAAAGTACAAAAGATCGAGAGGCGTTAGCAGCCATCATTGAGGCCACATTTTTTGTGGGCAACAATATATATCTATGAGTAAGTCCGTTACTTTCTCATCACCGCCTGAGGAGACCTATGGGGTGATTTAATATCTCGTTGTATCTGGGAGTGGTATCTGGTAATTTCCCTACTTTCTTACGATGGAATAGAAGAGTTCTCGGAGTATAATTTTTCTTGTGCATTTGGAAATAATTAATACATATACACTTGCAGTGATTTTTCTCGCTTAATTGGGAAGAAGCCTTAGCCTCTTGATTTGGGAAAAATTATCGCTAAAATTGCTAATTTGGGAAGAAAAAAGCATGTTTCAGTTCAGATTTTAGGGAAAACTGCATGATTTTAAAGAAAATTTCAATTGGGAAGAGGCCCTTTTTCTGAGTCTGTTATATATGTAGGAAAAATCACTGACTTGGATAAATAAGACTGAAAAACCGTTCTTACCAAACTGATTTGATGAGAAATGCTAAAAAAAACTTGTTATCTGGTTAAATGCGTTTTACAATTGGACGGGCATTCATACATAAACCAAATTCATGATCTGCATCCTAATTCAAACTTCACATGGAAAAATGTTTGTGTATGTTTATATGCACGTGTAAAATAAGAAAACAACATGGCGTACACTTCCTTTTATCTTCAAAAATCTGTTCGAAGTTATAATGAAATAAGTTAAAATGTAAAACGAGCAGCTATATGTTTATCAATTTATGGGGAAAAATGACTTGAGAAAGCTATATGCTTTACGTGCAAAAGTTGCTTCAAGACATGCCAGAGTCCAATATTTTACATCTAATTTTTCAAAATTTTCCGGGGGAGATCCCCCGTACCCCCACCAGCGGGAGGGGGACACCCCCTCCCGCACGCTCCCCCTCTCGGCACTTCGTGCCTCGCTTTGCGTATAATTTTTCAAGCCCTAGCTACGCCCCTGTCTTATCCCTTGTGCTCTAACAAGAAATATACAATATATATGACAAACTTGTAATGATAATGTATTAACATTAAATTAACACTAGAAATAGCTTGTAAAACAATTCTTTGAATTCAGTTTAAGATATCTTCAGTCAGTTTAATCTTACAAATGTATAAAGACTAAGTTATTCTAAATATTAATGAATTGTGTTAACAGATCAACATCCAAGGTGAATATCGTCTGGGAAATTATCCTTCATTTTTTAAATTTTTTCCTCAAAAAAAAGAATAATTACTTCTGAATCATGATAATCATTAGTGTGTGACTTGTACTCACAAGAAGATTAACAACACATCTTTAAATGGTCCTGTTTTGTTTTGCTAAAAATACTACACTTTATCTTGTTTGTAAAGTTTTAAACAGAACATTGCAAGCTTTAAGATAAATAACTTACTGTGAGAGCATCTTGTGAACCACTGTGTTTATCTGGGTGCCATTTTAACGCCAGTCGTTTGTAACTTGTTCTTATAGAATCCTGGTCCACTCCTGAATTACAAAAACAATACTAATATATAATACAGTACAACACTTGCCTACCTGAGTAGTTTCAGCAAAAACAATCTTGTCAAGTAAAGACCATAATTATCACTGAATCATAATGATTAAATATTGAATTAAAGCAACCAATGTCTATATAAGTAAATTACCAAGCATATTCATATGAACTGAATTCAAAACATTGTGAGATAAGATCTCAAACCATCTAGTTAGAAGTAGGTTATCTCCTTCATGTTCAAAACATTGCAAAAAATGATGAAAAGTCTGTGACAAACACGAGTTTCATTCTACTTTTGTTGTACTTTAGTCACAATCTAAAACAATTTAGGTCACAATGACATCATGATACCAAATTGAGACCCATTTGGGCTGGATTTCAGGACCAATTGACACCTTGGTTTAACCACCAAAATTCCTCACTTAAAGAATTTGATGTATCAAACATAAGCAGTAAGGTAAAAAACATGGATATAAGCCAATTTAATTATAACAATTGGAGGTATGCTTAAAATCTCTCAATAAAGTTTTAAGTTATTAAAAATGCAGTGTAAGAAATTAGGATTTGAATCGACTAGGCTGGTCGGACTACCAGATTGGAATATTCACTAGCCCAAAAGACAGTTCACTAGCACAATTCATTTGTTTACATTTGCCTCTGAAAATACAATACCCTGGTCGGGCTTGTTACAATGGAAAGTTGGTAGCCTGAGGAGAAATTTAGTAGTCAGGGGCTATAGGACTACTGCTAATTTCGAACACTGAAAATGATGAAATTTTGGAATATTACTATGCCTTTTTTTCCCTTTAGAAATAGTTACTGTTTTCTCCTGAATCCAGTGTTAGTGACCAGTTTAATCCTATTGTGCCTATTACAAAATTTAATGATTTGAGTAATGCTAAAAGCACAAGCAAGTCATCCAACATCGGCCAACATTTTTTAAAATAAGTCAATCATGTATTCTGTTAAAAATAGTATCATTTATCACGCAACTTCTATGGCAAATGCTTGATAACACTTGTCTGATAATTATTTGTTATTAAGTTATTAACCTGATAACAAAAACAAGACCCATCAATTATAAGACTTAACACAAAGGTTCCCATTTTACTTTTATCAGGTGTTTCTTATATCACTGACTCTCATTTAGTCATTATCTAGTGATTGTCTTTAGAATTAAAATCAAAATGAAACTCATGTTTCAATTTAATTATGAATACATTAGATAGTGAACAAGCATCAACACAGCAGATATACGGAAATTTTCCAGCTTAACCCATTACTTCATGAGCATTTTGTGAAAAATGGCTGTTTTATATCGAAAAGTCTCGCGTTACAAGTTCAAATTGGTATAATGCTATAAAAACTGCTTCACTACTAATCAAACTTGGCACAAATGTTGACTGGACCATTGCCTTTGCAACAACATGCTCAGGCTTAAATTTTCTGTTACCATGGCAACCAGGGGACATCTCAAAATTGCCAAAGATCACTATTTTGCGTTGATTTTTCTCATCAAAATTGATTTAAATGTGCTGCAACTTCTCAAGGGTTTGAGATAGTCAAATGCTTTTCAGCGTTGGTTACACGTTACCTTATGATCGATCTGGGGTCATTTTTAGCCTCTCACAAGTCCAAAATTTTCTTGGCGATGAGGGGGACTGCTGCCCTGGGCCTTCAAACCCCCCAAACAGAAGGGGGCACATCCCCCATCTGGCAACCCCCTGATGTATCTTTTGGTTGGAGGGCCGCTTTTTTTAACAACATTTTTCAAACAGAAACAAGTGTTGGGGGCCTAAATAAGGCATTTTTTCACCATTTGAGACAACAAATAGTGGGGGTGGGGGGTGAAAAATGCGTTAAAAGTTGTGTATATCACGTAATGGGTTAACTAATGCAGTATGACCTATGGTGTCTCTCCATGCATGAGTTCAGGCATGAAGGGGCATATAAGTAGAACCACTGTCTTTCCCTAAGCAGTGTCTGTGAGCAGGTGTTAAATTTAGATGTGTCTACTGTCAATGCAATACTGTGCCTTTGGCTTTATAAAATACAAACTGGTGAAATTTATATACAATATAGGGCCCAGTATTTAGTCCAGTTTTCGCTTATAACTTGTTTTTTTTCTTCCAGTTATGAAAAATAATCGGTATATTTATAATGTAAGAAGGGAAGAGGGCAGCGACTATGGGTGAGTACATGTAGCATTGCACAGGTATTACATATTCCAGGACTAGTATATATCAGACGTTAAGGGCAGCAACGGCTTGTTATAGTTTATGATAGTCAAGCTTGACATAGATGTCATGTACACCTGTACCTGCAAGCAAAAAAAGGCCTACATAAGGAACTATTGAATTCTGATGACTTCATCAGTCCAAGGCAGGCATAATTTGTTTGACAATTTATTGATTTTAACTGCGTTTCTGATGCATTTATGCAATGTGTTCGTCCAGTATTTTTTTTTTCAATTTTTAAAACAACCTGTGGCTTTCTGAAGAGAAAAATATTGCACGAAAAATGCAGAAATGGGGAGATCAAATTCAAACAACTCTGATTAACTTAACACCTGCTATTTTTCCTAAATGATGTGAACAATGTACATGGATGTTGGTGTTTAACATGAATAAATACGATCTGCTGCCCCATTTTACTTTCATTTTAGATATAGGAAAAAAGGTGCGTTATAGTTTCATATGATGCTTTGATTGAGCAATTTAAAAAATAATAATTTACTTTTATCATATTTAAATACGCCATACAAAGAAATATTCATTCACTGTGAATTTAGTGTGTTTTACTCTAGTTCTGGCTTCCATAACTCTCTATGTCGCTTTAATTTTGACGTTGTGCGACAGTAAAGTTATGGGTCAACCCTATTTGCAAAGGCTACCAGAATTTTGGCAGTTCGTGTGCCGTACATAAAAACCTATTAAAATGATCTTTATTAATCAAATTTGGCTCAAATAAAAATACCATTTGATAAACAAATCAATTTTGAATCAATTCATGTTTTGTTTTTAAATGAAACTTCAATGACATTGTGTACCCAACTGTTTGTTAGGGAAATATGTAGATAATGTTTACCAATATGGAGACTGGAGTCTGCTTTCAAATGAAATCTCGCGGGACTTTAATTTTTGGGAATTCTAGCATCTATTTTTAGTAACGGACCATATACTATTTTTAGTAAGTGTACAATTTTAAATAAAAACAAACCAATAATTCACCAATCATTACTTAAAACAATATAATCCAACATGTTTTGGTACAATGTCTGTTATTGAATGAATAAACTGTTATTCATAATTGCAAAAACATGTTTTCAATAAAAAAAAATTTGGGTCACCAAATGTCATGCAAAGGTATCCGAACCTAAATTCTAGCTAGTCACATGATAATTAGGGCAGCAATGGTGGCGAATTTTATGAATTGTGAACCCACTGATAAACTCTGAGGCATTATTTCATCAATCTAACGTTTTGTGTTCAAAAAATAGACTGAAGTGTCCCAAATATATCTAACTTACTACCTACAGGTATAAAAATAGCTTTTGTCTAAATCACTCAAATTTATTGAATTACAGCATGACATAAATATGTCACGGTTCTGGTTGACTTTCAAATATGGGATTGGCTTCAGCGAACAGGTCAAGCAGTACTATAAAACCTGTTCGCTGAAGTCTCTTTAGATAGTTTTACTCGTGAGAGTTATACCGAAACAGTGCAATCAGATCTCTTCCTAGTTTCATTTGTTGACAGTTTGGGCTTGAATATATCTTGCTATGTATAATCAATGTGCCAGTGTTGTTTTCTTAAAGAGTATTTATTTATCTAAGATTTGACACTAGTATTGTTAAGCTCGGTGATAAAGTGCAGTGTTCGAAATAAGCAGTAGTCATATAGCCCCTGACTACTAAATTTCTCCTCGGGCTACCAACTTTTCACAGTAACAAGCCCGACCAGGCTACTGTATTTTCAGAGGCAATATAAACAACTGTTTTGAACAAATGAATTGTGCTAGTGAAATGTCTTTTGGGCTATTGAATATTCCAATCTGGTAGTCCGACCAGCCTAGTCGATTCAAATCCTAATTTCTTACACTGATATAGTACACGACTCTATTCTATTCGGTTCCCGCAAATGACATCATAGACTTATACGAGGTCTCCCGTGACACCTAAATTGTCATGGCCGACTGTAGTCGGAGTAATTGATGTTTTACAGTTAAATAGGCAATTTTAATGACAGTATTAATATTTTGATAATTTAATTGACCTTTTTGAAAACCTAGCTAAACAACGTTTTCCGGTACATTACGGATTTAGCTCTGGGGAATTACACCAAATGAAGTACATAACACAGTTACATAATATTTCTATTTTTCTATCATTATTTTACAGTTTAAGGTGAAAAAAAATGATGTATTTGAAAATTATCAATATTCCTTTAATATCTATTGCAAATTTTTCAAAAAATAAATTGTTTATAAAGAAAATCAATAAAAACAAGAGCCCGGTTTGAGCCGGGTGATGCTCCCCGAATAGGTTTTGGACACAGGAAAGTACACCTCTTGTAGTTTCAGAGTTATGTCCGTGGAAAAAGTTCAAAGTGCAATAATTCCAAAATTAGGCAAGGCAGAGTTACAGTTCTTTGCACTGCACTTCTAATCAATGTGATCTATCAACCTACAAAGTTTCTTGATGATATCTTTTATGATTTCCAAGTTATGTCCTGGACAATTCAAAAAGTAAAAATAAACAAAGGGCAATAACTCCAGAATTAGGCAAGGTAGAGTTATGATTCTGATGCACTGCACATCTACCCATTGAGATTTATCTACCTACAAAGTTTCATGTTGATATCTCTTATAGTTTTACAGCTATGTCCTGGACAAGATTTTTCTAAAAGGGGAGATTATTCAAAAATAAGGCTTAACAGAGTTATGGTTCTTTTGCACTGCACCTCTACTCAATATGA